TTTTTTTCTTCTGTTATTGTATTTCCGTAAACTTTTGCGGCACGCGCTTCTGTTTGCCAGGCTTCCTTAATCACGCTCTCCCAGGGTTTACAGCTCGGCTCCCACTGTTGTTGTTTGTGCAAAGTACAACGGCACAATGTTGGACGGCTGTTGGTGCTCAATGCAATTTATACGCCGCCCCGCTGCTACAGCAGCGCCAGCAGAAGCAGAGGCAGCGACAGCGACAGCACCAGCTTCGTGCGTGGCGCTCTCTCATAATTCTAACACACGAAGTGTCGGCTCATAAACTTCGGTTTGTTATTGTTTCTCTGATGCTCCTTGCTTCGTACTCTATGCACATGCACTCATACACACACATACATACATTCATGTATATATTTAGCACTGCATTGAGTGTAACTGCCAGTGCAAGCACGCCCACTCCATGGAGCTTGCTCTCTCTCTTTGTCTCTCGTCTTCGTTGTCATGCCACGTTCGCTCTGACTCTTTTTGTTATTCAATTTGTTTTGTTTATGCGTAGCGGCATTTTGTTGTTGTTGCGTGCTTTTTCGCATTTTTCAAGCTTATTATGCTGGTCAATACAATAGTGTCGCGCATTAGTTGTGGCTAGTTTATGATGAGTTCTGAACAAGTGTAATTTCCCCAGAGACGCAACCACGTGGGTTGATCCATTGTAATAATTATTATGCCAGCGTTTGTCCGTTATTGCCATAATTACGTTACATTCATGCACTTTGCTTGCGTAGCCTATATATTTGAGCTAATTTATTTGAGTCAGTTGCTCTTTTGAACTAGTTTGAGTCGGTTTCGTCGAGCTGCAATTGGCGAACGCAAATTGAATTCTTTTTTACTGATACTGAGTCACACATTGGATGATTTGTTTTGATGCTCCTTCCGGTTAAAGAATCTTAGTTAATTAATTGCTTGCAGTTGAGTAACATTTCTGCAAAATATTAATTTAAATATAGCCATAGAGCGCTAAAGTAAATGTGAAAACTGATTGAAAGGTAGCAGCGACGCATGCGCGAAGGCTAGCAGATAAGAGATACTTGAGCTTGACAGCAAATGACAAACTCATAAATTAAACGAAACACAACACTTCATGATTCGTATGAAGAGGTTCAGATTGTGATTTTGGCGCTGTGAACTTGAACTATAATCTGAATGAGCGTCGCCCCGCCAAAAAATAACAAAGTGACGACAAGTAATTGTAACAAAAAAATGTATATACTATATGTATATAAACAAATTTAATCCAACTAACATAGTTTTATGTCTTTTCTAGTGAACTCTGTCAAGGTGAATGCCAATTAATGCTCTCTCTCCGTTTCGTTTCTCAATTACAGCTGGTCAATTTGTCCGCCCACACGATGCCTGCGATGAGCCAGATCTGCGGCGAATTCATCAAATCGCTGCTAACGCCTGCCGACAGCGCAGCCAGACATAAAGAGGTGATGGAAGAGACTCTGAGCAACGGCAAACTAAATGGCAATGGTCTCTCGCACCCTGCCAACGATGTAGAGGAAGAAGTAGAGAGGGAGGAGGAGGTGGAAGCACAGGAGCCAGCAGAAGAACGGCAGGCAGAGGAGATGCGCAAAACTTTGCTGGCGCAGAATGCGGCACTGGAAGAGAGCCTCAGTCAAGAGGACACGCAATCGAAACTGGATGAGCGACTGCAACGCGTGGCGCAGCTCGATGTACAGCTTGAGTTTTAATTGTAGAATTATTGCATATTTTGCAGATAGAGACAAATCGATCGCTTAATTTTACAGTTCAGCTAGGTACACTGGCGCTTGTAGTTGTTGTAACAAATTGTCTTGATTTTCTTTGTATACAAACGAAACGCCTACAATGCGTGAGTGTTTTATAAAATATACACTAAATGCAGTTATTTTTACAAACCAATTTAGTACTCTATATATAGTTTTATTTTCTATTTTATAGTAACAATAGTACAATACATACAACTATGGTACTTCTAGAATAATCTGCGGCAGCTCCAATTCATATTTGTGTCTGCTCGTGTGCGCCTTGCTCTCTCGCCCTCGTATTTAAGCTTCGGAAGCCGCTAGCCTCAAGGCTTAGTGTGATGGAGCGAGAGGTCAGATGATCGGACTAGTTTACGCACTATACAATTATTCCGTGCTTGCTCGCTCTCAACTTGCTCTCTCTTCAATTTCACCCTTTTAAGAGAAGAGTAGTGCACAGTTATAAGCGAGTTTGCCATGTTTGTGTATAGAATTTCACACGAAAGAGTATTAAAGCTTAGGCGATCTTAAACGCACTCTTGCAAAGCCTGTCTACATGCATACATATGTGTATGAGCTAAATTTGTGTGTGTGTGTGTGTAGCTGCTTGTCGAAATTGTAGAAATGTAAGTTTTGATAAAAATGCATTCTACATTTCCTATTTTTGTACATACAAATATATATATATTGTGTAAGTTACAAACATATTTATAAATGTGATTATATGACAAATTAAGAATTTGAGCATATAAAAACTATTTTTCATCATTATCACCATCATGATGAAGTGCTTAAATCAGTTGCGCCAAAATAAAACATATTCCTTTTCGTTGCCTAAAAATAATGACTGTACGTATACATAATATATATTTTTCGATATTTTGTTCTTTCTATAAAATATAAGAGATTACAAGTCGAGTTCTTAGAAATGTTTGCGATATGGTATTAGACCGGCATGGGCAAGCACATTATAGATTTCCATACGCGGTATTTTTTCCGCTTGGCGCTCCAGAACCTACGATAAAATAGTTATTAAATTAAAGTATAAGAGGCATAGCAAAAATTAGCGACTTACCACCTGCTCGCCGGGCCCAAACCAACTGGATCTGGCTAGAGCATCCCTGACACGCGGCGTCTTATAAAAGGGATTCTGTAATTGCTGGGGCAATGTCTGCTCCCAGGCGGCGTTCTCTACAACCGCAATGTGTTGCAGGCTGCGCTGGGGACGTGCTTGAGCCAAGGCAGCTAGCAGAACTGTTAAATAGACCAGACGGTAGGGTAGGCACCTGCGTAATGGAGTATAAGAGTTGAGTATAAGATCAAGTTGGATGCGTAACATGATTGCAGAGGCGAATGTACACTATTATTATGATCATTACATAATTTTGGCGTGCATATGATATGACAAGTTTCCGCCTGTCACGCATGTGGAACTCCACTGGCTCCACCTTTCCCCGGGCCCCCCCTCTCTGACGAGGAGTGGCTGCCTATATATCCCCTGGCAGCACAACCAGGCTGGCAACACGCCTAAATAACCCAAGTGGACCGCTTTTCACAGTCGACACTGGACAACTGCCTCTATGTAGTCAGCTGACTTGGCACACCAACTATATACATATATATACAGATACTGGTAGGAGTTGTCGTCCATATGACGGCTCTCATTTCCTAGATATCGCGTGCATTGTGCGTATTGGAAAAAAAAAGTGAGAGAGAGAGAGAGGGAGAGAAAAAAGTAAAATTTTGTATTTGTAGACGGCCCACTTTTGCTGCAGCCAAACTAACTATCTCGAATCTGCGGTTTTAATTGGATAACCGGCAATGCGGCGCTGCTGCTGCTGCTGCTGCCGCCTGCTACTGGATGCGCCACAGACACACTCGCTGATGATGTAAGTTTTGGACTTGATATTGCCACTTGGGGCAAGATTGCATACTGCATTCATCACGTTGCTTGTTGCGTGCCCTTTATTCGCTCGTTCGCTTGTTCGTCAACCATGTTGCGTAGTGTGGCAGGCGTAATAGGATTACGTGATCATAATCAAGTGCAGTTGCAGTACGCAATTTTATTATTAAATATATATTATATTACACTCCATACAAATATATACTATATAATAAAATTTTAAATTAATTTACATTGACTCTTTTCAATTTGTTTAAAACCAAAATAATCATATCAAAAATTACTAATTTTATATAGATAAATATTTGTATTACATAAAATTAGAGCCACGATTTGGCTTTCACCCAAAAATAATATTTAAATAAAACATAAGCAAGGGAATACCGCTCCTATATTTATAAGGCCCGCATAGACCCACAACAACTCACATAAATAAACATAGTTAAGGGCTAATGCAGGCCATTAATTAATTTTACACTTTTCGCTTTTTACTTAACGCATGATAAACAATTGTTAATTATTAGCTAATTAACAATTACAGCGATTTTCATGAAAGAAATCACAGCGCCAGGTAACCTTGTAGTTGTTAAAAGGTGTGAGATGAACAATTTTACACTCTTTTTGTATTTCTTCTGGCATAACTTTACGAGTCCATTAATTGCCATACAACAGCAAACTGTGTTAAGAGCGGCATCTTTAAGCCGTGACATAAAGTTTCAAGGCCTCTCGAAAGGCCTTTCACTGTCGAATGATCCCGCGGTGGTGGTTCAGCACTTGCAGTTGCAATTTTTCTCAGTTTCAGTGATTTTCCAGTTGTATTTCCTCATTGTATGCAAAGCGAAAAGATGAGAGGCGGGGGAGAGGTGGCACGTAGAATAACAATACGTCAATCTTTGTCAATTAACCAAGTGACCCAAATTTTTGTGAATGAACGAAAAGCGTGTAACTGCAGCGACGACAACGCCAATTGGATTCCATTGACCCAATCAAATATAACAAAAACAAACTCGGACTGTTTTTCTAAGTTACAGAGTCCGAGTCTTCAAGCCGGACTACGTGCGCGATTCCAAGTGAGAGTCGCAGTCAGAGTAGCAGTCGCAGTCGCAGTCCCAGTCCCAGTCACAGTCACAGTCAGAGTAGCAGTCGCAGTCACAGTTCGTGGCAGAGCGCATAACATGACACACAAAATACGTTTAAATAAAACCTGTAAACACTAAAAATAAAAATCAAAATAAATGTTGTGGGGGACGCTCAGAGTTTGCCAAGTTGGATTGCATAATGCAGTCGATGCATGCGCATGCAACGCAGTTGGGCCTCCACTGAGGAGTCGGGCCCATGTCTGCGACAACAAGCACGATGCTCATTTGGCTGACGATCGTCAGTAATCGCATGGGTAAATAGTTTTCTCAATGGTCTTTGACGTTCCATTCAGAGCCAAAGAACTCACAAATATTAACAAAGATGCAGCAATATATGTTCAGATATTTAGTTCAAGGGCGAGAATCTGATATGGAAACTCAGATGACAGTATTATGAAGAGAATTTTATATTCATTATATATGTCATGAGTAGTAATAATTAAATGGAATACACTCAAAGTAGCGACTCAAGCTAGTCATCTTCCTAGGTCACTTGAACAATTTGAATATTTATGAGCTACTGCAAAAAGTTTCACTTCCGCATATGAATTGCAATTTTGTGTGTCGCAGTTCAGGCGTAGTTCATTACAGAGCGTACTTACTCATGGGAAAGTGTAAAAAATTATTAACATAAAAATATTGCTTAAGCTGGTTTGAATAGCTTTATCGAATATTAAAATATATATCTGTTACATAATGCACTCTTAGCAATATTATGATGATTATTATTATTCAATACTATATTGATTTTCACTTTTCGATCAACCTCACACAGTAAATAGAATCACGATTTATTGCCCAAAACAATTGATTTTGTCAATTACTTTAAACTTAAATCGTTGTCGATTTATGGTCAAAATTAATATTCCGTTCTTGTAGTGCGCCGAAGACATGACAATGTGATTTTTATATAGCGTGATTGGGAAGTTTGTTAAATAACTGCCTTGCCTATTTTTATATAAGATCAGAAGTAAAAGTAAACACTTATAATGTTAATTCATATATATATCTTCAGTAGAGCTATAAATATACATAGATGAAATATATTCAACATATTTTAAAGCCATAAGTCAAAGTCACACAGTTCAAGAGTTTGAGCCTTGATAAGTATATCAAGTTTAATTATTATGTGCTGAAGGTAGTACGATCTATCTGTATCTGCATCTGTATCTGTATCTGTATCTGTATCTGTATCTGTATCTGTATCTGTATCTGTATC